AAAAAAAAAAAAAAAAAAAAAAAAAAAAAAAAAAAAAAAAAAAAAAAAAAAAAAAAAAAAAAAAAAAAAAAAAAAAAAAAAAAAAAAAAAAAAAAAAATGAAAAAAAAAAGAGCAACATACACGATTATTTTTGTATTTGAATAAATATTTTCTTGAGTGCAAAACCTGAAAAATAATTTTTTTTTTGTACCGTTGGTATGTTAAATTTCACTGAAATGGAGAAATTAGGTTTTTATTAGCGAAAAAAGTATTTTAAACCCATATAGATTTTTTACAAAAATTGTCCGCAAAAAAATGACAGCTGATATATTTTAATTCGCGGGCCACAAAAAAAGGCTTCGAGGGCCGGATGCGGCCCCCGGGTCGCCAGTTGGAAACCCCAGTTCTAGAACTATAAACCACAATCAGCAAAATATAGTCACAATAATTTTGGCCGAAGAGAAATCATAAGTTTAATGTAAATTTAAATTTTTTTGCCATATCTCGGAAATTTTATTATTTTTATTTCCAATGAGCTGCACAATCGGTCTTGCCGATGAGCAGACCTAGTGCGTTCTTCAGAGGTGGTATCCACTCTTTCAGGACCACCACAATGGGTGAGATACCGTTGGTCATGTCAATATGGACGTCTAGTTTCTGCCACACTAGATGGCAGCACCGAGACTCTATTTGGATGCTAAAGTGCACTAGGAACTTAATTTTGCCGGAAATACCAGGAGCCAATAAGGCACTCCAGGGATCTTTTACATGGCCGCTGAGGATTTTCTGCATGCCGAAAATCCGGTGTCTAGGCCGGGGATCGAACCCGCAGACTTGGGCTCAGAAGGCCGACGACAAACCAACTGCGCCACCCAGCCACATATCTCGGAAAATGGTTAAGCTATTTTTGTATTTATTTCATTTAATATTATTTCATATATTTCCTATTATTTAATTTAATATCCGTCAAAAAAAACTTTTGAATTGATAGGTGAACGCAATTTAAACAACTTTAAGCTTTGTAATTTTAAATGAAAAAATACGTTATTGCTCCATTACTTTCTCAGAATTAAAATTTTGAAAAGTCGTATTTTTAACTTTTTATTTCTCAAAAACAATTTAATCGATTGTGTTCAATATTTGTACTTTTTAATTTAAAATTACATAGTTAAAAATGATGTAAAAATTCGTAGACATTATAATTCAAAATTTTTTCGATTATCAATTAATTGAATAATAAAATTAATTATAAAAAAAACTCGCATGAAATTTAAGAATTAAAGTATTTTGGGATCTATCTTCATTTTTTTTTTGCAACAAATCTTATCTTATTATCTTTGGAAACAAAATTTTATAATTGTGAGTAAAAAGGTGTTGTTTTGCCTTAATGGTGTTGTTGTTTCTAATATCACTTGCCTATATCAGCAAGTCTGCTCGGTGAAACTAAGCGAATTTAAGACAGAGGATGTGTTTCTTTTTTTTGAGTGGGTGGCGTCATCTATGGCCAAGAATACAACTTCAGCCACACACACGTCATAGTTGGTTTGTAGGGTGAACCTATTCATACATCCATTCATTCATCCACAGATCGTAATGGCCTGAACCAGAGAACGATCAATCTCCAATTCAGTACCCCCAGAGGTACTGATTTGTTATGGGAACTGGGGCAGTAAAAAATATCCATTTATTCTAAACACAAAAATATTCCTCATCTCAAATAAAGTTATTTTTTCTAAACTGCACAACATGAATTTGTTTGAAAAAACATATTATGTTTGGTTGTAAGTTGAAAAATTTTAATTTTTCTTAATAAGTCAGATTTAAGCGGAAAAGATGCTTCGTTAGAAGTTTCTTAATTCTACTACATACAATAAAAGCGATTTCTTATTTATTCGATTTCTTATTCGATACTAAAATGTCACTCATAACACACTTCATCACTATCATCCTCTTTAATTACTATAGATTCTAGGGGCTTAGGATAATATGCTTTTTTATAGAAGTATATTTTTCATCAGACTTTTGTATAATACTGTTTACAAATAGGTACTTTACAAGTTTTGCTTGAAGGCAGAAGTAACAGTAAATAGAAGGAGATTTTTTGTTGTTGCGTAAATAGAGATCCTGATGTTTTTGGAGAAGATCGCTCAGTTGAAAAATTTCATAAATGTGGCTTATCATTACATTGCTCTGAGCCCTTTATGTTTAAAAAAGTAACGATTGAAGCTTACCAATTAATGAATTCTCATCTGACTGTACTTTCTTCTGTAGCTTGACTGAAGATCGCATACGTTTTATATCTTTCTTCCGAATTTGTACCAAAACAAATAATGCTATTACGCAACCTTAAAGTAACAAAACATATTAACATATATAGTGATAAACAAAACTTGCCAAATGTCTTAGCTAGTTAAAAGGAAACATGGATATGAAATAGAATTAATTTTAAATTAAGTTCAGTTATAAGAAAGCAAAGCTTAGCTAAAATGCATGAGTGGGCGAAGTAAATTAGAATTGAAAAGCAATCCAAAAGGAATTGCGTAAGCAGTTCCGGGAGGCTAATTTACAATCTAGTGGTCCATAACGATTCTCTCTCTCGCTCTCTCTCTGTCTTTAGAGAGATTTGTAGTTGGTTCCAATTATAATACAAGCCTTGATTTCTTTTAAAATTTGTTACCAGAACTAAAACAATGTCAACAAGTTTTTAAAAAAATTTAAAACGTCCTAAATCCGGAAGCGGGACATTAAACGCTGCTGTATTGGAAGAACGCTTCCGGAGTTGGCAGCGATCCGGGAGTGATCCCTCTAATTTGAATAGAAGGCTTTATAACAGGACATGCACTTCCGTAAGTATAGTTGAATCTCAAAACTAAACTGTATTTTAGTTATCTCGTAGTGACCTATACTTGTTTGCAACAGCAGCAAATATAAAGGTGGAGCTTAGAAAATACTAAATATGTTTACATCAGAGATTCTCTGAAATGTATTTAAAGAGTCAAAATACTTACTTTCAACTTACCAATAATAAATAAAAAGAGGAAGAGAAAAGACAAAGCATATGCTGCACCACTGCCAGTGAAGTAATCATATGTTTCTGGTTCAGAATGTGCACAGACAGGAACATGAAAATGTGAAGGACAATTCTGTCCGGAATTCTTGACCACTGGAAGAGCATGACAGTTCTTCAACTGCCCATTTCTAGCACATCGAAAGGCTGTTAACTTTTCGGAGCACTTTAGATTAGATACACTGTCTAAAAATATAAGGGCAAATGTAAATACCCGTTTAAATGAAACATGTATATTTCTAGAGCTAAAGCATAGGTAATCTTTGTACCAGTGGGAGCTACACCAGAAGTAGGAACATGGAATGCATCTGGAGACAAATCATTGTGTTTAAGACCAGTTGTAACTGCCAGTATAATATCATACATTTTAATGCCTCTAATGATATCAATTTCTTGTCGTGTGAAAAACCTGGAAATTTAAATTTATGATACAATAATAATTTTAAAAAAATAAAAATACTCCAAAAATATTTAAAAGGAACTTTTCTTTTAAGAGAATACACCAGGGACTAATAATAAATTCTTTGTATGTGATTTTGAACTTTTTGTGTGGATTTTTGAAAAAAAAAATTAATAAATAAAATTGGAAAAGGAGAGATATAAAAATTTTTGCTACCAAATTTAAACTTGCTTTTTGAGATCGACCTAATCTTATTTAAAAAATACAACCGTTTTTAAAATTTGATGATGAATATTTTTGTAACTTACAAATATAAATATTTGTAAGTTATATAATATTGTAATATATATATATATATATAATACAAATATAATATTGTAATATATATATAATACAAATATAATATTGTAATATATATATATAATACAAATATAATAATGTAATACATATATATTTGTAAAACATACAAATATAAGGCAAAAGAAAAAATGGCTTCATATAATAGAAAAAAATAATTCCGAGGTTTCATAAGTAAATCACTAAAACATTATTTGATTTTTAATGATTAACATTATAGTGTTCCGTAATCCTACCACCATTAAATGGTTGACTGAATGTAAACAATAACAAGTTTCCTAAGACCAGAAGAAATTTAGAAGACTTCCGGTGTATCCTTCCGCTTATGTTATGCTTACGAGGCGCGGTGTGAACAGGCTTAATATTCTAGGACGTTTTATTATTGTGATTTGTGTTGAAATGTACTCGTAATTTTACAGTTCATAAGAGTTTTCTATAATTTATAAATTCTAACAGAAACAAATTTAACAAAATTCATATTCATGAACAACAATAACAAAATTAATAGCCATGTTTTGAATGTTATCAATTATTTAGCTACATTTGTGTAAAATAGCACCGTTTGTTATTTTTTCGGTAGCATCACACCAAGCTTGCGGAGTCTTCCGAATTAATTTGTTGTTTGTTTCGTTGATATCATTCGAATTTTAACCCCTAGCGCCATCTGTGAGGATCTTTACACTGCCAACCATCCATTTTCATGTATTTTGAAAATATTTATTAGAAATAAAGTCAGATATAAAACCCATTTGAGCCAATAATTAAAATTCTAAAAGGATAAAAAACAAAGTTATTAAAAGCTTATAAATAATTCTCGAAGTCAATCTGAGAACATAAAAAAAAAAAACTAATGAATTAGAGGTGAAAACGACAGATCCAAACGAAAGGCTAACGTTTTTCAGTTCAATCCGATTTCAATCTGAGAATATAAAAAAACTAACGAATTAAAGGAGAGAACGGCAGATCCAAACGAAAGGCTAACACGTTTCTGTTCAATTCGATTTATCAACTGTTTCTCAATTATTTTGATCTCTCCTTGGCTCTGATTGATCTCGATTATGAATAGTTAATTTTCATAAAGTTATAAATTTTTCGCAATTGAGCATTATTTTGCATTACCAAATGTATAGCTTTGTTCTTCTGATTTTATTTTGAAAAAGAATCTATATAAAGGCAGCGATTTCAGAACACACACTATAGCAGCAGTAACTAGAATTGTTCTAATTCATGGCGTGCACAGCTGTCCTTATTTTGCACCAAAAGTTACAAGCAAATTTTGTGGCAAAGGATCTCACTTGAGTTCTTTTACTAGGTAATTAAAAATTTAAAAATACTTATGCATATGTTAGAAAGCTTAGAATATATATAAAGGCAGCGATTTCAGAACACACACTATAGCAGCTGTAACTAGAATTCTTCTAATTCATGGCGTGCACAGCGGTCCTTATTTTGCACCAAAAGTTACAAACAAATTGTGTGGCAAGGATCTCGTTTGAGTTCCTTTACTAGGTAATTTAAAATTTAAAAATACTTATATGTTAGAAAGCTTAGAATCTATATAAAGGCAGCGATTTCAGAACACACACTACAGCAGCTGTAACTAGAATTCTTCTAATTCATAGCGTGCACCGCGGTCCTTATTTTGCACCAAAAGTTACAAACAAATTGTGTGGCAAGGATCTCACTTGAGTTCTTTTACTAGGTAATTTAAAATTTAAAAATACTTATGCATATGTTAGAAAGCTATACTAACTCATTCTCCTTATTTTGAAACCAAAACCGATCACCATTTCTAATACGTATAAATTGTTCACGGATAACTTCTTTAAATACTGGTCCCATTCCATTTTTTGTTTCTAAAAGTCCACCTAAAAATATATCCACTTCATCCATTGACGTATAATATTTTGGAAGAACTTTCAATATAAGCTGAAAAAAAATAACAAATTATAGTAAAATATAAAATAGTAATTTGTCTTAGAATATTTTAACAGAAGCAGATAAATGCATTTAGTTCATTCAATGCGGAGAATTTAGAATGGCATAAAAGGTAAGGAAAAAGATAACAATAAGTAAAATAGTAATATTAACACACATTTCTTTACAAATTACAGTAGCCTGAAAAGTTTCCCGCTAGTATACTTTTACTAACTTTTTTTGGTCTTTGAATGCTTCAATGAGGGAAAAGCAAATATTTTCATTTTATTTATTGTTCTTCAAACGTGACGCAAAAAAAAGGAAAATAAGTAAATAATCAATAAATTAGTATTGATCTTTTGTTATTTATAATTCTGTAACGTTCTTCAAACGTGATGCAAAAAAAAAGGTAAATAATCAATAAATTAGTATTGATCTTTTGTTATTAATAATTCTGTAAAGTTCTTCAAACGTGATGCAAAAAAAAAAGGAAAGTAAGTAAATAATCAATAAATTAGAATTGATCTTTTGTTATTAATTCTGTAACATTCTTCAAACGTGATGCAAATAATAGGAAAATAAGTAAATAATCAATAAATTCGTATTGATCTTTTGTTATTAATAATTCTGTAACGTTTCTATAACGTTTTTTTTAATTCTGTAACGTTTGTAATTTTTGCCATATATGTATGGCAAAATTTTGCCATAGGCAAAACCTCATAGGAATATCCTATGGCATTTTTTATATGGCAAAAATTTGCCATACGTATATGGCAAAATTTTGCCATAGGCAAAACCCCATAGGAATATCCTATGGCATTTTTTTATATGGCAAAATTTTGCCATACGTATATGGCAAAAGTGTATGGCAAAATTTTACCATAGGCAAAACCCCATAGGAATATCCTATGGCATTTTTTTATATGGCAAAATGTTGCCATACGTATATGGCAAAAGTGTATGGCAAAATTTTACCATAGGCAAAACCCCATAGAAATATCCTATGGCA